GTCAGCAGTGCTTCTGTGGCAAGACGATAACTTGATCAAACAGAATACAGGATCTAATGATCGTCAGCAGTGCTTCTGTGGCAAGACGATAACTTGATCAAACAGAATACAGGATCTAATGATCGTCAACAGTACTTCTGTGGCAAGACGATAACTTGATCGAAACAAAATATAGGACCAAATTATGTTTACCATTGCTTATTTGGACATAAACAAACTTGATATAAATAAAGTTCAACAACTTTGCTTTTATAATGACACAGGAACTTGTTCCGAGCAAAGTAGTGGATCTAATTATATAGACATCACAGTTTTTGTGATATCACGAGAACTTGATCAATTCTCAGTGTGGGATCTAATGGTCGATAACAATGGGTTTTTGTCAACACAAGGACTTGATCAATACTCAATATGGGATCTAATGGTCGATAACAATGGTTTTGTGTCAACACAAGAACTTGATCAATACTCAATATGGGATCTAATGGTCGATAACAATGGTTTTGTGTCAACACAAGAGCTTGATCAATACTCAATATGGGATCTAATGGTCGATAACAATGGTTTTGTGTCAACACAAGAGCTTGATCAATACTCAATATGGGATCTAATGGTCGATAACAATGGTTTTGTGTCAACACAAGAACTTGATCAATACTCAGTATGGGATCTAATGGTCGATAACAATGGTTTTGTGTCAACACAAGGACTTGGTCAATATTCAGTATGGGATATAATGGTCAATAAAAATGGGTTTGTGGCACATAGGGGATCTGAATTTGGATAAAGACGTTAGTAACACAAACTTAATCTAAGTCATTATTTTGTTTAGAGCCAGATATTTACATCTGGTGAGAACATTTAAACAAAATCTCAGGTATGGTATATAGCTTCATTGTATGTAAAACGTAAATTAATATGTACATATCAGGACATTAGACTTGAACAACTAACTTTATACTATAATATTACTCATTCAGACTCCAGATTTGACATGTTGAAGGTCAAGTTCATTCCAATTCTTACGTCATTACCTTTCTCGATGTGTCCGAGTTAAGCTTTCATCTCCAACTCTTACATTATAATCCAAATCGATTTGTATCTGAGTTAAGTTCCTTGTATTAAATTCATCTTCATAAACTCTTACTTTATATTACTTTCATCCCTAACTCTTACATTACCATCCACATTAAGTTCCTTGTATTAAATTCATCTTCATAAACTCTTACTTTATATTACTTTCATCCCTAACTCTTACATTACCATCCACATTAAGTTCCTTGTATTAAATTCATCTTCATAAACTCTTACCTCATATTACTTTCATCCCTAACTCTTACATTACCATCCACATTAAGTTCCTTGTATTAAATTCATCTTCATAAACTCTTTTTCTTTCAGTCTACATTAGGATTTAACTGCCACTATAATTTCGAAATTTCCTGAATGCAATCAAAACCAAGTGCAAGCTCTACATTACAGGCCATAGTCTAGCAAGCTGTTTCCATCAGATACTCTACATTACAGGCCATAGTCTAGCAAGTTGTTTCCATCAGATACTCTACATTACAGGCCATAGTCTAGCAAGCTGTTTCCATCAGATACTCTACATTACAGGCCATAGTCTAGCAAGCTGTTCTCACCAGATGCTCTACATTACAGGCCATAGTCTAGCAAGCTGTTTCCATCAGATACACTATATTACAGGCCATAGCCTAGCAAGTTGTTTCCATCAGATACTCTACATTACAGGCCATAGTCTAGCAAGTTGTTCCCATCAGATACTGTACACTACAGGCCATAGCCTAGCAAGTTGTTTCCATCAGATGCTATACACTGTAGCCCACAGCCTAGCCAGCTGTTCCCATCGGATGCTATACATTACATACCATAGTCTAGCAAGCTCCTTTCATCGGATGCTATACAATGCAGGCCATAGCCTAGCCTTAGTTACTGATAACTTCATATGTTTAAAGCGTAGATGTGGCCTGTAGGCACCATGTGGTTTCATGATACGTTTACTGTTTAATTACTAATGATTTCAAGCATTGTTCGTATGGAATATTACAAAGAAAGAAACAAATAACAGTAAAATCTTATTCTTTTAAAAGAGACTGTTGGATTTTGTATATTTCGGAAAACGTGTAACTTAATCTTCTTGAAATATTTCTAATGTCTTGTTTATATATATATCTATGAAGTTATCTGGTTGTATTAAACGTTTGAAGTACGTGAACATGGATATCTCCGACTTGTTTACTTTGTATAAAGACACTCGGTAATGCTCCTGGTATGAAGTATTAAAAACCTTGTAACCATAGTTACTTTAGAAAAATTTGTAACTTATTTTTCTACTTGTTCAATATGTTTTGTTACATCAGTTTCCAGATTGCACTAAAAGAAAGAAATGAAAACGTATGTTACCTTAGAAGTCAAAATTGATCATATCTTTAAGCACCACAGAAGAGTGGGTACCAGCAAGATCGACTTATATAAATCTGCGTACTGATCCATAATTGTGTGGATATAAAACAACAAAAGAAACACTATACACGTTTAGCACCCCTTTTAAACTGTGGATAGAAAAACACAAAAGAAACACTATACACGTTTAGCACCCCTTTAAACTGTGGATATAAAAGAAAACAAAATAAACACTAGATACGTATAACACCCCTTTCTTCAAATGTCATACTTTCAAACATAATATACAGTCCAGCTAGCTGCATGTACATGATCGTATTTTAATTTTTAGAATAATCAATCTCCATAACTTTTGTAGTTTAAAGGGGTGCTAAACGTGTATAGTGTTT